TTACCAACTGGTCCACCTATACCTCAAGTGGTCTACAAGTCACTTCACTTACAAAGCATTCGATTTAGTAGACAATTTTCAAACTACATAACGTAGACCTAAAATTTCTACAGGGAAAGTAGAACTTTGGAATNTTTCCGGTGTAGCAAACGTAGTACATAGGGCGACATCTAGATGTCATCTACCTCGCCCTATTCACTATGCTTTTTTATAGGAGCTTTTCAAAGCTTTGCTTTATGGTGTCGGACACACAACATTGAAAGCTTCTGGAACACAACATTGAAAGTTTCTGGAACACAACATTGCAAGTTGATAAAAGCGTTGTAAAATTAAGTGATCAGTTATGAAACATATAAATCTTTACATGTTCTGTTAAAAAATATCTAAAATAACAAGCGATAATCCCTAAGTTCTATATCGTAGCAGTGGCCACATTGCGTGTTTGTCGCAGACACGGTTTATGTAAAAAATTTTGAAGTGAAACTACCTTCTAAAAATTATTGTATCATGTTCTAACTCAAGTCTTAAAATAATTTTTTAATATCTTTTCTGTCATATAAAAACAAACAACATATCATTTTTTATTGAATTGCTTAATAAAAAATAACGTTTTATAAAACAAATTTCTTTTAAAAATATATAATGTGCATGTGAATGAGCAGAAGTTTGTGCTAAAATCGACTCACACACATGTGCATGCGCTTAATAACAAACAGCACACTCCTTGTTGTGAGCAGAGTTTGTTTTCCACTAATGCACACACGTGTGTATGAGCAATGAGTGCAAGTTGAATGGGTTCCTGGCATGTGCGCGAGCTGAGCATGTGCGCGAGCTGAGCATGTGCGCGAGCTGAGCATGTGTGTGCAAATACGAACCCTGCATAATACTAGTGGCAGAAATAAAAGAAGCGCCTTAATTCAACCAGTTTTGCTATATTCCTTTTATTTATTCAAAATTTAAATTTTTTATAAATGTCTACCTCATATTACATATAATGAACTGCATATAAATGGGCATTTCTCTGACGTTATGATTTTTTTTAAAAGACTTTATAATTACAAAGGTAAGATTAATTCCAAAATTTATTTAAAAAAATCAGTGCAATGTTAAACAAAAATATAGGTACCAATAATAATAAAATAATTTTTAATTTAAAAAATAATTTTTTTGGGTTCACAAGCACGAATAGGAATTGAAAATGCGCCTTTAATCTATTTTATTTTGTTAAGCTAATAAAGTTAGTTCTTAACATATAATATTTTCAAAAATAGGAATTGCGAAATTTCAAGGATATTCAAGGATAAAATTATAAAAGGGTATTTTCAATACCTACCCGTCCCTTACGCACCAAAAAATGTAATGTGTTTTAACTCTACAGAATCTTTTCTCTCATTTTATACGCATACTATTTTTTAAGCATTTTGCACCATTGCATAATTTTTTGAAATACTTTCAAAGTTTCAAAGTTCTTTCAAAAATCCTGACGTCAGAGGGATAAATTAAGAACGCAATTTTAATAAAATTGGCCCTTGGTTTGGCGAATATATTGATTTTTTTTGTGCAAAATTGCCTGTCGCAAGGTATTATATCGCCGTTTAAAGTACAAAACCGCGTATCAACAAAATGCAAAACCGCGTATCAACATAATGCAAAGCCGCGTGTGTGAGATTGCATAAATCATTTTCTGTAGAGTAAAAGCACTCATGTTTCAAAATAGATCTATTTTTTATAAAGCAATCGCATTTCTGGCTAGTATATTTCAGGACGAATGGATAAGGATTGAGCCAAGAGCTTGTGTGAGCAAATCCAATTTTTGGCAGCAAATGTCAGTTACGCGGTTTCGCAGAATGACGATACGCGGTTTTGTACTTTAGACGACGATATGTATATTGAGCTACACATTTATAAACAAAAATTTTAAATATTAAATAAACAAAAGAAATATAGCCAAAACTGGTCAACATAAAGCGTTTCTATTATTGCCACCAGTGTAAATTGCAATTCCCGAAAATCCCGGGATTCTAGGCACTTAAAAACGACATACATATGTATATTAATGTTAATTTTGGAAAAAAGAAACAGCAGGTTCCTCGTGCCCAAAAATCCCCAGAAAGATCTTTTGAATGTACGAATATTTGCATTTTAATCACTTTTAATTGATTTAAATGCTGCTCTGCGACCACCAACTTCAATTTAAAAAAAAAACGCTTAAAATTGCCAACCTGGCTGAACTGAGAAATTACTTTCGTATATAAAATCCAGGTTTTCAGAAAAACTTAGTTTCATCAGTTCCCCAGCCGAATGCGGAGCAGTGTGATTATAATAATTATTAGTAATGCGCGATATTTCACTGCAGGTGATTTTATCACTGTGATTTAAAAATGTGCTACTGCTACGCCACAATATCAGTGAATGGTGATTTTTCTACTCGCATATTTCGCTGTGAATGAAAATCGTATCTGGCAATAGCTAGTCAACAAAAGTTGCGAATGGTGATCTTTCTCTATCATGGTAGAAATGGTGATTTTACAATTTTTAATTATTCATTGTGAATATGCTCAGTGGTGGAAAAATGACAACATTTTAACAAATTGTTCCTACTTTCCTCTTATTTATTTAATATTTATTATTTTGTTTATAAAAGTGCTATGAGCTATTATCTAACAAAAACCATATAAATAAATTATTTTTCAAACTTTGTGCAAAAATTATACAAATTCTGCAAAATTGCGTTTAAATTTTCCACTTTTTAATCGATTTTTTCGAGTATGCAGTTTTATAGCCCATTAAACTTTAGTATCAAGTGCAAGTTTGAAGTTCCTAAAACATCGCGTTGATTTTTGATAATTTTTATTCTGAATGTATTACGCACTTTTTCCATACAAAAAAGTTTTCGAACATACTTTGTATGGAAGAAAATGTGCTAACAAATTGTCAAAAATCAACCGATTTTTTAGCAACCTAAAACTTGCACTTTATTGTACTCAAATTTAATGGGTTATAAAACTGCAAAAAAATTCTAAAAAATGATTAAAAGTTGAAAATTTAATGCCATTTTGCAGAGTTTTTATAATTTTTGCACAAAGTTTGAAATAGGAATTTATATGATTTTTGTTAGAAATGAGCAATACTTTTATAAAAAAAAAACAATAAGTATTAAATAAATAAAAGAAAAATGGGAAAAATTTATTAAAATGTCGTGTACCTATTTATTTTTCCATCACTGTATATTGCGTTTTTCATTACCGTTCCACGGTTGTTTTAAATGGACATTTTCAAGTACGCAGTTTGATTTGCTTGATCACGTTATCTGCGTTTCAGTTTTTTATTTCAAAACTTGTATCAACGAATAAAGATATAGCCATTTTTGGGCGAATAAATGCAACTTTCCCCTCTTTTCCCTACACTCATTTTTTCGACTGAAATCTATATGGGTAGGGAATTATCCCTTCATGTACCAACACTGATTTGTCATCATTTGTTAGAACTATTACACATTTATGTGTTATTAAAAGAACTAGCTAAAAAATCGCTGTGATTTAAAAATCCCCATGACTCTTCGCATTTTAAAAATCGCTATTTCGCCCATCACTAGTGATTATTCATAATACAACCTCAAATATTATAATGAAAGACTGCCAGCAATGAGTTTATATTAAAATACATATGCTAGCAACATGAGCATGTGAAATAAGCATCTTTGCAATAGTATATTGATCAGCCTTATCATGAATTTTTATTCCGTGTGAACTCATTCACACTTCGCTTTTACAGTTCACCTATCGTATGTTGAATATCCACCAAGCGAAGTAGTTCACTTCGAATCATGTTCACACTATAGTATAAAGTATTCACCTGTGAAATAATTTACAATCGTACATATAAAATCGCAAAACAACTAAATTTTCCGGTGAAAATTTTTACCAAATTTTCATGATAAGGCAGGATGAGTTTTTAGAAATTTTGAAGCCAACAAAACGCGTAACGGCTACGAACATGTGTATATGTATATGCATACAGTCAGTCAATTGATCTATTATTTTTATTGGCCAAATAATAGATATAAGAACGATTATGAGAAATGTAAACATAACAAAACTGGCAAAGCTAAACTTCAAAATGGGGGGGATTGCCAGATGAATGTACGTAACCAATAGTTATTCAAGACACGAACCATTATATCAGTATAGACACGAATTGACATGGCCACTATGAAAACGCCCACACCGATAAAAGAATCGGTGGTCAAATACCACGAGGCTAGAAAAATATATTTCCTTTTTCCGAATTGGACACGGAGCGAACCACACTCATCAGCCCTCGCAAGAACGGAATTACAACCAAGTAATTAAAGTGTATTAAAAGCTTGTATTAAAAGCTGGCGACATTCGGGGAGTCGATACTCACCCCTCAGTGGAAAGTGGAAAGGGAAATCGACTGCGTCCAAGCAAATATAAGGAAAAAGGCTGACTGTAAAAAGCCTGTTTTTTCTGGTATCGAGTTAAAAAGACAAAAGGTGCCGTCACATTCCTTCCGGCAAATCCCCAGCCATGTTGTTGCGTAGAATAAAGAAGTTGTGAGCATCAAATCTGGATATTCATTTGACAGCAATTGAGTCACCATAAGCCGGTAATACAAGATCATTACACGTAAGTCAGCCACTTTCTTGCCACCATCCATTGGAAACGAGCTATCCATCAACCGTAAATAAAGATTCCTGTTTGGACCGACAAACTAAGGTCAAGCAAATCATTGGCGCCCAACTAAACGGGTGAAAAAGAATAAGTTTTTGTTGAACATAACCACACTTAAGCCCGGCATAAAATAACCGCGTGCTCAGCTGAGGGGATATAGCAATTTCATCATCGAATCAATTTAATACATCATAAAATTAGATTTAAGGAAAAATTAAAATCTTTCTAGTCGTGTTTCTCATTTTGTTGGTCACAAAATTGTACGTCGGTGAACCATACATATTCGAGTTTAATAGATTTTTGATACATTTTTCTTTTAGAAATTCCGCTATTATAAATCATTGAGATTGAATCAAATAATTATCTTTTGAATTCATAATCACTGTAAATCAATATCGTCCTCAGTCTTCACACGGCAAGATTTAATTGATTTTTTTTGGAGCTAGTTTTCAATCAAAATTTTTGTGGATATTTTGATTATTTATTTCCGCGGGGGTGAATGGTGATCGATCTGCGATGCGAACACCATTGATCAGCAGTCATAACCATTCTCGTTCAGTTCAGTTCGCCAATTCTGAAAAGCAAGTTAATTGAATTTTTTTAATCAAGTAACACCACACATCGACGGTCAAGATTTTTGAACCGATAATTTTTCATTTCGTCTTTCGGTATAAGTTTAAGCAACGTAACCGATAACACGGTCAATATTAATGGAACCAAACTATTAATTTTTCTTAATTTTTTTTTTGTAATTTCTCTGGGTATTCATTCCCAATAAAATTTGAAACTCGTATTAAATTAATCTCGTTTAACATTCTCAGTCTGATTTGGTCTTCCGGTAAATTCGGGGGTGGATAGTCTTGATCTTTGTTGCGTACCTTGTTGGCGACAGAAGGGACCGAAGGAGATACAGGAAATACTCCCAAGTATTCAAACCCTTCGCTGCATCCCGGGAGCAAACAACTTGGTCCATAAAAAGATTCGAGCTAGTGCGTTAAACGCCATTCTCAGCCCACGTTCGGTATAATATTATAAAAAAATTTGGACCGAAAATCACATCAGATATAAAACCAATTGAGCGTGAATTTTTTGTTAAACTAATTAGATTTAAAGCAATATTCAAATAGTGATCGATTTATGCGGCATTATTTTTGAAAGTGGATTTTCAAAACGACATACTCATAGAATAAAATAATAATAATAATAAATAATAAACTGAAGTAAATACTGTACTGATTTTAAATCGAGTACCATCATCTTATAACATAGACTTTAATAGCACGGCGTTTACGTCTACCGTTGGCAAAATTTTTTAATAATCGGAATTTACAACTTGGTATTTGAGTCTTTGAACATGGAATTGTTTCCCATTCTCGATGCAACTTATTTGACAGACGAACAGCGACAGATCGAAGGGGAGATATATAACCTATATCCAGCGCCGTTTCAATGGACCGACACCGAAATAGCCGCCCTCAATGGTAAAATATCTGCTTACGTTGGCCAACCATGGTTGATAAAATCCCATGCCATACACCAAATGAATGAGTTGGAAATATGTGAGAGAGCATATCGGGAACTGAAGGCTAATGAGGTGTTAACACCTCAGGGTCATCTTCATCAAATGATACATTATTGTTATCGAACCGCTCGGTTGAAGTTAAAACCCGAGTCGGCGTCACGCCAGGCAGATCTGATCGGAAAATTTCAGTCGAAGATTCGTGAGCTTCGGATGTCTTCACCGAATACAGGAATCCCGACGTGCGATCCCCAATTAAGTTTGAACTCGACCTTCCATGGTTTTGAGAATGAACGGGGAACGATGAGTTCAACTCAAAATACTGTTCCATCACAATATTTACCCTTAACCATACCAGATTCGATTCCAAACCAGAATATACCGACTTCGGTTCAGGCAACTGAACCACGGTATACCCTGACCACCAGTACGGTTAATTCAAATGCTCAACCAGCCGTTCTCAATTCAGTGTCAGGCGGAACGGAACCAACACCCTCATTACACCAACTGTCTGTAATGGTGTCTGAGTTGCTGAGAGCCCAAACACAGATGCAACAGCAAATGATCCGTGATCGGATT